TTGCTACTAACTCGAGGTCTATCTTGAGGTTGGTTCTTGTCACCTTTGTCATTCGATTTCTTAATTCCATCAGGGTTGTGTAATGACGTTGGATGCTGCTTGTTGCACGTCTGCCTTTCCTTGCAATGCTTTACAATGTGCTGGTCGCTAAAGCAGCCGAAGCACAGTTTCTTCTCTACTACAAAGTCTCGATGGTCACTCAGAGATTTCTTCAAAAACTATTCACGCTCGTTTAAGTTATGAGGCTTCTTGCATAAAGAGCATACAACAGTCTGTTGATTGCTACCTTCCTGATTTACACCAGTAGCAAGGTTTGTCCCTTTTCCCCTTTTTAGCGGCTTTCTTGTAAACTTAAGATGAGTGCCTCTGTCTTTTTCATCATGATTTGGCTTGCTAACATATTGCTCTGAAAACACAGGATCCGTGGCAAGATCAGCTTGTTCACGCACGAATTGAGAGAACTCTTCGAAGTCGGCTATTCTTCCCTTTGCACTTTTTGTCCTATTGTTCCTTTCAGTCCATTTGGTTCGCAGGTACTTGGGTAACTTTTCCCACAGTTGACGCAGTACATGAGCAGTGTTTAAATCATCCATATGAGACATGCCTTTCATAACAGACTTTGCTTGATCCAGGGAAATAGAGAAATCTTGGAGGGCTAAACCATCATTTGGTCTGATCGGTGGCCAAGAAGACAATTTCGTGATATGTGCATTAGCTATCTTGAAGGGATCACCGAATTGTCTCCTTAAAAGCCTCTTAGCTTCTTCATAGGATCCTTCCACTTTCCTTTGTACACATCCGTTTATAATTTCTTTTGCTTTACCTGACGTGTATTGACCCAGAAAATATAATCTCTCATGGGAATCTTCAACCTTTGATTCGATTAATGACTCAAAGGCAGTCATGAATAATGGATACTCCATAGCATCACCATAAAACGTAGGAGGCTCGTTCGATGGCAAAAGACTCCTTGCTTGCTGGTTAACAATAGTCTGAGACAACTCAGTTTGTTTTCGTTGAATTTCCACAATGTCTTGGAAAGTATTGTCTTTGACTGTCAAACTTGTTGAACAACCTTGTGGTGGTGATGGTGGCAGACACCATACCTGATCAGGAGCAGTATATGTAACAGCAGGAGTCGTTGCTGAAGATGGGTATGAAGAAGAATGTACACTCGAGGGGTGTTCATGGGGTTTTGCTGCATAGGCGGTAGTCTCTTCCTTACTCCGTGATGTACCAGTATTTATCGGTGTTGTGTAAATGGGTCCTTTCTGAGGTACCGTAAATGCACTAAGAGGACTAGCTTGTAAAGGCTGTTGATAATCTGTAACGCCTGAAGAACTTACAAGTTGTTGCTGCGAAGTTCGTTCCAAACCAGCAGAGTTACCTGATTGTACTGTACAAATCGGAGGACTTTGTGTATGAATAGGTGCAAAGGTTGACTCTTCATTCTTCATTTCTTCGTAAATCCTTTCTTCTTCCCTTGCTTGAGCTAAACTCTGTTTTAGCTCTAAATGTTCAGCTGCCATTTTAAGCGCTTGCTTTTCTTTCAGAAATGATGCTTCAATTTCCAATGCTGCAACCTTAGTTTTTGCTTCTATCAACTTAACTTTAGATGAAATTGAAGATGAGGTGGACCGTTTAGAGTGATTTGACTTTCTTGTGCGATGAGACCCACTAGAGATAAAAGAGTTAACTTCATTTGACTGATGCCTTTTCGCCTTGGACAAATATTCAACGACAGACTGTTTAAATTTAAAGACATCTTCATCGTGAGCATCGTACCATGAATTGGCATTAACAATAACAGCCTCATCTTCTAACGTGTCAACATAATTATCCTGAGCATCTTGCAGTTTAACAAGCAAATTGTTAAGACCTTCCATTTCAACTGACACAAATTCATAATTCTTAACATCAGCAAGTAGCGGTTTCATTTTGTTTATCTGTCTAGTTACGTGACGTAACGCCACAATTCTATGATCCTTTAACCTTTGTAACTTGTGTTGTTTACCTTTATCCGTTGGAATTTTTCTCCTTTCGCCCACTCCTAGCGCTTCAGCATCACTGACCGTCGATTTTGCTCCCATATTCAGCGAACCTTGAACCTTTACTGAATTAGGAAGTTCCGTTTCTGATGCTGCATCCGTTGGCTGAGTGTGAAGCGGTGATGTAACACGAAACAGTTCCGTATCCATTGTTGGGAGTGCGAACGCGAAACTTGCAATCTCAGCAAATTTTCATCCTCAAAATAAGCCCCAAATTCCTTGCTTTCACCTTCCATGACTGTAAATATCCCGAGAACCGTAAAACCAGATCACAACTATAGATAAATAGAAGCACCACCGTAACTATCCTTGCGAATCCATAAAGTCCATGAGGTCGTGAAATAACTGTGGCTGTGAATGGCGGCACATGATAGCCATGGCGACGAACATAACAACAAAATGTTTAATCATACACGAGGCTGAATCAACTCACAAGTACCATCACAAACATCCGTTAGAAAGCTTTAGAAATCCGTAGCACGAGAAAGAAAAACTGAAACAAACGACTTACAAAACACTTGGGAAACTTGAAGAAAACCTTAGTGAAATTTCAGGTCATTTCACGGTGGCCTCGTGCCTGCCAATGCCGAGGCCCCGTGCACATGTTCCTAATAAACAAGGGGGTAAGCCCGCTGGTCAGGATACCAGCGGTTACAGGTGACGTCATTAATTCTTTTAAATTTCTTGACTATAAAAAGAATTTGAAGGTAGCCCTTAGCAGCGTCAGTAAAATGTATGTTGTCTCCGCACTTCTCTGTAACGCCATTACATGCCTTTATGGTAATAACACCAGTGATTATTTTGGTATTGAACCCCCTTCCCTGGAACAATACTTTCAACAATACTTTCAATGAATTGTAGTCTAGCTGTACTGATTTTGATGATGTATTTTCTCCTTCCTGGATCATATTCAGTGTAATTGGGATGTAAAATATAGACTGTTGGAAAGAAGGAATTATACTTTAAAAAAGCACCTTCAATGTACAGGAAGAAAATAAAAGAAAACGACACACATGCAAGTTTGATTTATGTGGTTGCTATGAAATGCAAATGTCACATACCGGTAAACATGACAATAGCACAAACGAATATTTCCAGATCAATTTGGTGCCTATAGATCAATCCATCAAAAAGTTAAAAGATTCATTCAAAGACCTTCCCCATCCCGTCTCCCCCCCACCCCTTCATAGCCCTAGGATTAAAAGGAATATATAAATAATTCCAGAGCCGGACACTCAGCAATAAGACGCTAATGTTTCAAAAGAGTACTGAAAAGGGAATGTGTATTTTATTCTTATTTCAATGTTTTGCTCAACCTATGTTTAAATGTAAGAAAATGGAGCACATCCTAACACTAACGTTCTAAAATTTCAAAGGACAGGTTAATTTAACCCTTTACCTCCCAGTGTCTAAACATCAATGTACTACTTTCTTTCTCATGACGATGTTTAAGAACATGTTCTTAATTACTATGCCGCCTATCTAGCAGCAGTCACTCTTATGTGATGTTACTGCAAAGGTGTGCAGAATTTTACTGATCAGCCACGTGATATATATTTTTTTATTTTTTATTTTTTACTCCATCCTATAATACATTAGTTGTACAATAATACAATAGTTTTACGATATTAATAATACATTAGTTGTACAATATCAATTGGTACAAAGTTACTTAATAATAATAATAAAAGAAGAAAATTAGAATGGAGAAGGGCACATTATAGTAAAACTAATCATGGCCCTTTAACAAGATTGACTTTATTCTTTTGTAGTTTTGTTATTCATTAAAACACAAACACGCACGCACACACACACGCACACAAGTCAATATTGAGCAAGATAATATTTTTTAAGTGCCTTTTTGAACAGCATTTTCGATGATTTATTGCGAATAGAGAGGGGGAGATCGTTCCAATAGTATTTTCCAATGACGGTAGGGCAAAACTTTCGAATATTAATTCTTGAGTGGGGAATGTGTAATTGCTGAGCAGATGCACTTCGTGTAAAATAATCATGTTGCTCAGATACAAGAAATAATGGAAAATTACACGGCTTATTATCAGAGACATAATCATATAAAAACAAACAATTGTAAATTTTAACAATATCACGAAATTTTAATAAACCTAGATGAGCATAATGAGGAGTGATATGATCTCGTAAAGGAACGTCATTCATTATTCTAACTGCTTTATTTTGTAGACGTATGAGCTGTGATAATGGATTATCATAATTATTTCCCCACAATAAGCAACCATATATGAGATATGGGTAAACAAGAGAATAGTAAATACTAGTTAAACATTGATTTCCTAGATAACTTTTTATCTTTGTCATAATATTAATACTCTTACTGACTTTATCAGAAACATAGTCATGTGATAGTTAGTTTGAAGTGTTAAATGATGACTTCTATATCCTTGTGAGTCAAAGGGTTTACTTAAGTTATCTTAGCTTCAACGATGTATCTTTGATCACTGTACACACTGCACTAAGAAAATTCCTTTCTCCAGAGGTGTAAACAACCCATCAACCTTTGAAGTCGAGGTGAAGAAAAACTAATCACCAAGCTGGACAGGCAAAGTCACCAGAAAAAAAAAGAGAGACAAAATTATAGTTGGAAAATAATCAGTTAAAAATTATGATAACAACAACATGGTTCTATAGGGCCGAAAGGGCCAAAGGTTGACAATTTGAATTTCAACTTTTGTTTTGCCTTTGCCAGCTCTTATGAGGATTTGGGCATTACTTTTTCAAGTAAAGTCATTAACATTTGACTCTGTAGTTGTTGCTGCTGCAGGAAAAGCATTTGAAATTTCTGTAGCTGCTGTTCCTGCCTCTGCTGCTGTTCAGCCATCATCTTCATTACAGCCTGGTACTGTTGCTGGTTCTGCCTCTGCTGATCTATCAGCATTTGATGCTGAGCTGCTTTATTTTCTTGCTCTTTCTTGTTCAATTCATTTCTTCCTTCCGGAATTCCTTCTCATTGTCAAATTTTTCTTTTAGAATTTGCACAGCTTCAGTGGTACTTCTTCTACTTTTTGGTTTGATAACTTCATCACATGAATCAGCATTCCTCTTTTTTGTTTGGCCCAGGCGCTCCAAGGCCTTCAACCTACTTTCTTCAGCTAACGCCTTGTCGTTTTCATTCTTCTTGGTAAGAGTGTTAGTGTTTTCTTTCCTTTCTAAATCAGCTGCCTGTTCTTTTTCTCTAATTTCACACAATGCCATCTCCAATTCTGTTTCCTCGTCACATTTCATGCCAGAACCCTGCTCTTCGTTTCTCACCTTTTCTTTGTACTTCCTCAGCAAAAGAGTGAGCCTGTCCCTAACAGACCCCGTTCTTACAGTGAATTTGGGTACACTGAGCCCATTTAAGTTTTGTTCTATTTCTCCCCAGATTTCTCCTCTCTCTCTACTTTGCTTTGCGTGCTTGAATGGTTCCATGACAAGAACTTCTCTGCATAGCATGAGATCGTGCTCTTCTGACCACTTCATAGAATAATTTCTTCATAAAATCCTGACAGGATTTTTACAAAACTGTTATCAAATGCGGTTTAAATAATACAACTTACATTTATAAAAACGCTTGAAACTTACCCTGATTTTCCTGCTGCATCCATCACTTCTTTGACCTAGTGCAGTTCTACTAAGACTGTCAAATTTTTCCTGCAACATCGAAAAAATCGGGGTTTTTTACTTCACAGCAACAGGAATAACTTACGGCTGCTGTTTCATCTACTAAGAAAAACCTTGGGATTCAAGAAATTGCAAAATTAAGTCAGAAAATAGAAGAAAATAAGTCAAGCAATACTCACGTTCACCACAGGATGGTGGCAAATGGCGTCCTCAACGAGGTGTGGACGACGAGCTGGTCCTTGTTTGGGCATGCGTGGTAGCATCATGGTTCATTTTCCAACTTCCGGTAGTTGACATTCACGTGGTCGTCGTCACTGCTAAAGGTCCCTAATAAGCCTCAAAATTTAACGGCTCGCACACACTCTGGTTTCTTGTCCTTGACAGTGTTCAAGATACCAGCCCCACCCATTTCCACACCAATAACTCGTCCGGACCGTCATCTTGATTTAACTAGCATAACGCAAGCAGCGGAATATAAGTGAACAGTTACATGCTGGACGTTGTACGAGCGAGTGAATAACGAAAGGAACCTCCTGCCTCCATGCGTTGCATGCGACAGCAAAAAACACGATCACTGGGGGGTGAGAGCGGGGTTTGGGTTTTTAAAGGAACGAAACAGGAATTTCCCCTAACTCTACGGTCTATCTTGGGTCGGAACACATTGAAAACCTTAGCAGATCCAACAGGGAGTAGAACATTAATTTGTGACTTCATGTATCGTCCTTGATTGACTTAAACTAATTCCTCGCCCCGCTTTTGGTGGTCCTCTCCTACTGTGACCTGATACATTTTCAAGAACGCAACACAACTTGGAGCTTCTTCTCCAGCCGATTCCAAGACTTGAACGATGATGTGGGCAAATGGTCATTTGGGAAAAAAGAGCAGGTTTCTTGAAAATCCCACATCTTGCAAATATCAAATGAACTTGTGTTTCTACCCTGGCAAACTGAAAAATTGTAAATGATTTTTTGCCTTTTTTGCACAAGAGTAAAGGTAGTGCAAGGGATGAGCGATTTCTGCTCCATTCTTTCTCGCTGCAAATGCCATCAACTATCTCAAAGAAGGAACACGACATGTTCTTGCTGCAGTATCGAAATCGACAACTTAGTAATAGTAGAGACTGTGCGTGTTCGCTTGTTAATTTAATTTTATTGATTAGCTAAAAGAACGATTCCCACGGTGAAAAATCAATCTGGTCAACTTCGACCGTTACAATACATTTTTTGACTACGAATGGGACTCTGACTTTTGCTATAAACCGACGGATGGAGAACAGGATCTTAATTTTTGTAGAGCTTTTTGTGGCTGCTTTTTGTTTTATTCCACCGTCCAAAAAAAATCTCAGTTCCCGCAAAAAGTAAGTGTACGTGGTAAACAGCTAATTAATAGTCAATAAGGGTACCAAACGAATATTACACAGGCTTACTGTAGTTTGTGAAACGAAATGGAACGAAACGAAATGAAAATCTGTAGTTTGCGAAATGAGAATCTGTAGTTGGCGAAATGAAAATCTGCAGTTTGCGAAATTTGGATTTTTGGCGCACTTGCAAACGTAAGAACAATAGAGGAAAACTATCCCCTGGGTTGCCATTCAGAAACTCATGCAAAGGTTGTTATGAAGTTGTTTGAAGCCTCCAGCTGCTTTTGCTGAACTAGAGAAGAAACTATACTTACGCCTGGGTTGCTGTAGTGAATGGCTCCTTAGCCTGTATTTGTAGCTAGTTGCTTGTGATATTCTCTCTGTCGGATGAACAGGCTGCAGTTATCTATGGGCGCATAGCTTCCCGATCAAGAGGAAACAATAACTTTTCTCCAAAGGGAATTCCTGCCGTCAAATGACACTTAAACAACAAAAACTTCTGCTGGAAATACTTTTTTTTCCTGCATTTGTTTATCTATACAAAACGTTAAAACCACCATGTTCCAAAGTAAACAACGAAGCCACAATGATGTATTTTATCAGTTCGTTTTGAATATCGCGTGACGTTTCTGGTTAAGATAAGGCGTTTCAACAGCCACCGGAAGTGGACTTTTTGCATTCTTGGGCAGTGGTTCTTGGGCAAATTTTCAGGCAGATCATCTCTATAAGAGTAACGACACTTATCAATACAAATGTAGTGGCGTCAAGGCATATAAGAAGGGAAGAGGTCTTGCTTCCGGTTGCTGACGCCTGAGCTTAAGTTAAACTTTATACATGGCAACGAAAACGTCACACATTCTGTGCAAACTGAATTTTTGGGCAAAACGGCTTTTTTGGGGGGAATTTTCTGTTTAGAATATCTGAGTAGACGCAGCGAGAGAGTAAATGGTCATTTCCTAAACTACAGATTGTCATTTCGCAAACTACAGATTTTCATTTCATAAACTACAGATTTTCATTTCGTTTGGTTCCATTTCGTTTCGTTTCGTTTCGCAAACTACAGTAAGCCTTTTACACATTGCATTTTAAGCTTTCGACTGAAATGGCATTCATAGAAACATAAAAAAATCGCAACTTCTGTACCTTCTGTTGCTTTATAAATACAATATATATTTTTTCTTTTTGAAAATGATGTTCTTTTCGTGACAACGTAATTTGCATATCTTATTAACAGCTGCTGTTCAAAGGACTGAAGGTAAAAATGTAAGTGAAAATTACCTGGGTGCATAACATTTGGGAATTAGAGAAAGTTGCTTCATTCGCTTTATTTGATGTTATGTTATTTGGAAAGACTGACATTGGAGGCCAGTTTGATTCCGGTAAGAGAATACAAGTGTACTCAATGGAATATTTAGTAATCCACAGTGAGTCCAATTGTGTGATCAACTTTGGTATCAGCTGTAGGATGTGTGCAATGATCTAAAATGTATATACTAATTGTACATTGTTGTATTTACAATTTTAGCAGTACAGAAACTGCAGTGCTGTTATTAAAATTAATTTCAATGGCATATTTGAAGCTATGGCTGTTAGATTACACTTTTTATGTCCAAATACTATGTCTCGTTGATGCGTGTGTGAATGTTGCAAGTGTGACACACGCGGGTAGATCATTTTTATTACGACTTCACTTCGAGTTTTTGCCTAGAAAGAAGAGAGTATATTAAAAACATGCTAGTTTACGCTAATCCTGCTATTTAAGCTCTAAAATGACTACAAACGAGTCAGTTTTGTCATTTTTTTATCACGTGACACCTTGTTGTTTGTTACCCTCGTTTTTGTAAAAATTATGATTTTGTGGAAATTCATCTGTCGCTCGCTGAAAAGATCCCAGAAAAACAAAACTGCAACTTTTAAGAACTATATTTTAGGATTCTATGGTAGCAATATGAACCATTCTCAGGCACTACCACATGCATTTTTATCGAGATGATTTAGAGCTCCTTTTTATGTTTGGAGGGGTGCGACCATACCTTCAAATGTCATTTTTAAGTTTTATTAGAAGTAACCTAAGATGAAACATGGATATTTTCTAGAAGAACAACACCCCTTGTGAACACTATAATAGGAAGAGAAATCCGGCTGTAATGTTTTAGCTCGAACCGGATTGTCTCGAAGATGGTGAAATTTCAACCTCGCGCATAGCGATGCATGGTCAAATCATTTTTGGCCATTTATTACAGTTGGAAGGCGTATTTTGAAAAACTAGCCACATCCCACTAAAGTTAGTACCTTAGCCTTGCCCTAGACAAAAAATGAGCCGAATGGATTTTTTGAGCGTGGCTGGAAAATTGTGATATTTGTTTGATTTTTACTGACATTCACTCTTAAATTATCTCTCGGTGTGTGTTTAATAGAGCTGTTCACGAAGATCCCAACTCCACCTCCACGTTTATCTGCCCGGCATTCATGATGAAAGCTATAGCCGTCAATATGAACACCATCAAGATTACTCGTGAGCCAGGTCTGTGAAACACCTATAATAGGAAAATTGAGAACCTTCTCACGATCTTTAAAATGCAGAGACTTGGTAATAATAGGCCATGGTTTATCCTGTTTTTCAGGGCCTAGGCGATGGGCTCTTTCAATAGGGACACCAGCCGCATTTTACTCCAATTTGTCGCTGATTAGTTGTTTGATCTTCGGCTCTGGTTGATCCCATGTTTCGTTTGTCCCTCGCTTGGGAATCCCTTCAAAAAAGAGATAATTCCGCCCTGAACAGTTTTCAAGGTCGTCTGCTTTGTCGAGTAGAAACTGCACATCACCTTGAAGTTCCTGGAGTTTACTATCGTCGCGATAATCAAAGAGTTGAGAGACTTGCCCTTGAGTGAACTAGACTGTTCTTCAAATCTCGAACTTCCTTCAAAAGATTATCGATTGCGTTATTGGTCGAATCGATGAAAGTAGAGAAAAAAATAGTGTCCTCTTGAACCTTCGGTAATTCTCTGACAAAGTCTAGAGGAACTACACTTTCACCATTTACATTTGTATTGGAAGTTTTCTCAGTAACTGATTTCAAGCGTGTGTTTGCCATCTAAACTGTAGGAAGCTGCTACATTATGCAGTGAAAGTAGAGAGAAAAAACTTTGATAGTGTCCTCTTGAACCTTCAGTAATTCTCTGACAAAGTTTCGAGGAACTAGACTTTCACCATTTACATTTGTATTTGAAAGTTTTCTCAGCAGCTGATTTCAAGCGTGTGTTTGCCATCTTAGCCATCTTAGCGTGTGATCTCCATTGACTTGGTGCAGTTGTCTTAAAAAAAAGTTGGACGCTGTTCGCAACATAGATGTAAAATCTTCCACTTTCGTTCTGAATGTAGAAAAGTTCAACCTTTGAGTCCGAGTAGTAGATTTCTTTGTTGATTTCAACATGAAGCTCCCTGTAAATCATCATTACGACTTGTGTTGCAAGTACTGTGTTGCACAACTCTAAAACCT